AAAAAAAAAAAAAAACAAAAAGTCACCTCTCCAGGAAGCCTTTCCTGACCACCTCACATCCCTACCACCAGCCTGGGGCAGGCCCTGGTCTCCCCTCCGAGCTCTCCTACCAACTCCAAAAAAGTGATTGGTGCAAGGCCTGCTGCCCCACTACACTGGAAATCCACAAGGGCGAGGGGCCGGCCATGTCACCAGCTCCCGGCTGGGTCGTTTACCCGCAACCCCTACCCCTTACCTGCATGCTGCCAAACAGGGCGTGGATGGCGTCCTCCTCCTCGGCCGCGCTGTGCCGCACTTCCTCCACCATGGCCTGCAGCAGCGCGATGGCCTCCCGCGTGGCCGTCTGCAGGGCCTTCACGGACTGGGCACAGGGCGGGGTCAGGCTGGAGAGTGCCGCCGCGCGGCCCCACACCCCCGCCCCCGTGCGCCTGCTCCTGCAGTCACCAGCACCGCCTGCTCCAGCCGCTCGCAGCCCTGCACATAAGCCGATTCCAGGTCCACGCAGTGCGCCCGGCTCTCCCTGCGGGAGGTGGCGGGTGAGGCCCGCTCCGGCCGCCCCCAGCCCCCTCCCCTCGCGCCCCCTCTACGCACCCCTGCATGTCGCGGAAGCAGCGGATGCACAGCAGCAACTTCTTGTCGGTGGAGAACAGGAGGTAGGGCTCTCCGTGCAGCGCTGCGGGTGGGTGGACGGCGGTGAGGGCTCCGGGCAGTTCCCGGCCCGTCTCCAGCCCGTGCCCACCGCCGGTCCCCGGCCCCGCAAGCCTCACTCACTGCACTTCTGGGGCATGTCGCGGCTTCGCTGGCCCAGGGCCACGATGTCGTGACGCGCGAACATGCGAGACCGGTGTGTCTCGTCGCGGCAGCGCGCGCACAGGGGCTGTCCGCACGTGTTGCAGAAGTACGTGGTCTCCACGTCCTGCGGGCCGAGAGCCGGCTCAGGAGCGCCAGAGCCCGACCGCGGCCAGCGCGGGAACCGCAGTCGACCCGAATCATCGCGCGTGTTTGTCCCAGCCGTGGTCGGGTGCTCAGCTGCACGCAGTCCCTTCCTGTAATCCGGGCACTTGGCGCTCTGATATACCCAGTTTACAGATGAGGGCACTGCAGCTCAGAGGCTGGGTAAGTAGGTCCTTGGGGGTGTGGGGGTCGGGGGAGACGGCAGAGACTGCTTTTATGAAACAAACGTTTTACCTGCAACAAAAGGGGTCTGAAGGCCTCTCACTGACCTCTTGACACACTCAATAGTGGCCAAAAGGTGGTGTGCACCCTGGCCGTCCAGAGTCACACCTCAGCGGGGAGGAGAAGAGCAGGGAGGGCTTTCTGGTTATCCTCCCCAAGCCAGACCCAGGGCTGGGAGGCCAGGGCTTGTGTTGCAGCCCTGGTGTGGGGACAGGCAGTGGGTGACAGAACAGGCTCTCCCTGGAGTCCCTGCCTCCTGTTCATCCTCTCTGTACCTCTGGCTCCCACATTTCTCAGCACTTGCCCAGATCGCCGGAGCTTTTGTCCCTGTAGGGCCGTCCTCATGGGATTCCCGGTACCCTTTCCGGCCTCCGCAGGCCAGAGTCCCCAGTGTCCTTTACAGCCCAGGGGAACAGCACGCTGTCCTCACCTCCGCCGGGCTGTAGCTGCTTCTGTGCCACTTGGGTAGCAGAGGTCCTCTGGGATCGGCCCAGGCCTGCAGGCTGGACCACCCTTCCTGCTTGAGTCCACAGCTCCACCCTGAGGTGGAGACCAGCGAGCCCTCCCCAGATCGAATGGCCACTATCTGGACACTGCCTCAAGTCCCTTGTTCTGACCTCAGTCTCCCCCTGGGTATAATGGGGCCCACATTCGGGGCCAAGGTGCCTTAGGGAGGTGCTGGGGAATCCACTGGCAGGTGGTCCTCTGAGGACATGCTAGGTGCATGTGCAAACATTGGAGACTGTGCAACCTGGGACCCTTCACTCCCCACCCACCCGCCCCTGATGCTCCTGCCTGCTCGCTGCACTCCCGGTCACAGTTGGCACAGCGCACCGCCTCCACGGCATCCCCGGAGCTGTCCACCAGGAACTGCATCAGCCGGTCCACCGGCGGGAGCCCGCTGGGACCCTTCACCACAGTCTGGTGTCTGCAGAGAAGCCCAGGCCCCAAGATTCTGACACCCCTTCCCCAAGGCTCCCCACCCCCACCTCACATTCCAGGCTGGGGCTAAAAATAGCTGTGTTGGGAGGGCGGTGCACCCAGCTCTGGGGTCTGCTATAAATATCACAGCCAGCGCTCACCCTGCCCTGGTCCCTACTCTTGCCCAGTCCTGGGCACTCCTGCAGACAGTGGGGTTGGTGCCCCGGTATCAAAAGCAGAAGCCTCTCCTTGGCATATTCTCATGGGATTGGGTAAATTAGAGCCACTCCTGGGTGCCTTGAGCCCACCTAAAGTTAACTGTGGTTTTGTGGACCTAAGACTTCTAGGACCCCAAATCAAGTTACTGGAAGTGTCCTGACCGGTGCTGGAGCCCCGCCCTGACTTTTGATGGGAGGTCTTGAGCCAGTAACTGCAGTCTCCAGGCCTCAGTTAAGCTGATCTGTAAAATGGGCTGAAGGCTGCAACTTTTGGGGAAAGAGCTAAGGACTGGGTGCAGCCCCTCCCGCTGGTTCTGCCTTAAGTCGGAGCCTCACTCTCCTGGCACCTGGATGTCAGTTCAGACAGAGCAAACCTTGGCCTCCGGGGACGGAGTCTGGGAGGTTTTTGGGAACTTTGGGACACTTACTGGCACAGTGGGCACATGAGGCGGCCGTCGGTCGTGAGGCCACGAAGGCAGCCGGCACAGAAGTCATGGAAGCAGTCCAGAAGACACGGGCGCTGGTACTGCACGTGGCACAGCGGGCACACCAGCGGGTGGACGCCAGCGGCGTCCAGGGCGCTCGGGCCCTCCGGAGGCCCAAAGATAGCTCCCGACATCTGCAGGGATAGCGCAGGCCGGCGGCTGGGGCGCGCACCGAGCCCCGCTTGAGCTCCCGCGGCCCCTCCGCCCGGGCGCTCGCGCCCTGCCTATCCGGTCTGGACCCGACGGGGCGTCTAGAGGTCATGGAGTGGGGAGCCACTAGGGCTCGGGGCTGGGACCTGGAGCGCCCCGGCGCAGGGAGAACGGGCAGAGAGGGCTGGCGAGGGTCCGGGCCCTCTACCTGCCCTCTAGGTCGCCTTGCTGGGAGCTGGCCGCCCTCCGAGCCTCTCCCCCGCGGTCCAGCGCTCCTAGTGTGGCTCGGGGAGGCGCTCTGAGAACCGGCGCGGTCGCTCTGCGGCGAAGTCGCTGACCCTGGAATGCCAGGCCCGCACCAGGCGATGCTTCCCAGCCTACGCGGGGCCTCCCTCTGCCCTGGCCTCTCCCACCTCTCCTCACTCCCACCCCCGGAATTTCCCGCCGGTGACCTCTGGGTGACCCGCAGGCAACGCCCCTTCCGGGCATCCACCTTCCCCAGGGTGGCTGCTGCCTCGAAGAGCGGCGGGGCCAAACCGACCGCGGCACTCGCCATCGGCTTTGTGCACTGTCTCCGTCCGACCGGGCCACTCCACCCCCAGCCGGCGGAGAGGAGAGGCCAGGACGCCAAGGCTCCAGGGACGGTGCCAGACAAGGGTGCAAGATTGGACTGGCCCCTGCTCGTGATGACAGAGTCCCGAGCCCCAAGACCAGAGCGCCACGCAGAGCGGGGCTGGAGGACCTTGGCTGTGGGGTCTTCAAGGGTGTAGGCCAGGCGCAGTGGCTCGGGCCTGTAATCCTGGTACTTTGGGAGGCCGAGGCGGGCAGATCGTTTGAGGTCAGGAGTTCGAGACCAGCCTGGCCAACATGGCGAAAACCCGTCTCTACTAAAAAATGCAAAAATTAGCCAGGCATGGTGGCGTGTGCCTGTAGTGCCAGCTACTTGGGAGGCCGAGGCAGGAAAATTGCTTGAACCCTGGAGGCGGAGGTTGCAGTGAGTCGAGATTGCACCACTGCACTCCAGCCTGGGTGACAGAGAGAGACACTCATCTAGAAAAAAAGAAGAAGAAGAAAAAAAAGGTCCCGGCCTCTCACTCCCCGACTTGCTAATCCCTACTCTTCCATCGGACTTGGGTCTCAACAGGTCATTGCAGCCCCATTTCCTCCACCGCCAATTGTGGGCCCCAGAGAGCAGCGGACGCCCCTCCACCGAACTTCCAGCACTTGCCAGGCAGAGTGAGACGCCCAGGAATCCCAGCCCTGCCTTTCGCTGGTTGTGGGCTCTCAGCCCGGTTACTGACCTCTCAGAGCTCAGCACTGGGTTAAAATAGAACTGGTCTCCTGATAGCGGGTGAGGCCCCAGTGGAACAACGTACGTGAAATACACATACTGGGCATCCACATAATTAAGGGCTCATCCTCATTGCCTGCCAAGTTCCCAAAAGAGGGGTGGGTTTGGGTGGAAGGTTGAGAGGGGAGGCTCCCAGCCTTTCCAGCAGTGCCCCCTCTGAGATCTGGGCCTGGCGGATGCGTGTTGATCCCAGGGTTTTCTCCAGCATGCCCTTGCTTCCTAGGTGGATGTGATCAGTGAGCTTTCTCCGCCCATGTTATCCTGAGTGCCCTGAGAGCAGCCCGTTTCTGCTCCTCCTGCAATTGTAAAGTCAAGGCCAGAGCCTGACCCACAGTGGTGCTCAATAAAGGCTTAGAAAAAACTCGGAGATACTTGAGCTGTTTTTGTTTTGTTTTGTTTACAGGATCTCACTCTGTCACCCAGGCTGGAGTGCAGTGGGGTGATCTCAGCTCACTGCAGCTTCGGCTTCCTTCCACCTCAGCCTCCCAAATAGCTGGAACTACAGCCCTGTACCACCATACCTGGCTAATTTTTTTTTTTTTTTTTTTTTTTTTTTTTTTTTTTTTTTTTTTTTTTTTTTTTTTTGATGGGAGTTTCTCTGAGACGCCCAGGCTGGAGTGCAATGGCATGATCTCGGCTCACTGTAACCTCTGCCTCCCAGGTTCAAGCGATTCCCCTGCTTCACCCTCCCCAGTAGCTGGGACTACAGGCATGTGCCACCACGCCTGGCTAATTTTTGTATTTTTAGTAGAGATGGGATTTCACCATGTTGGCCAGGCTGGTCTCGAACTCCCGACTTCAGGTGGTCTACCCACTTTGGCCTCCCAAAGTGCTGGGATTACAGGTGTGAGCCACTGCACCCGGCTTTTTTTTTGTTTTTCTTTTTCTTTGTATTTTTAATAGAAAAATACAAAAATACAATGTGCTGCACACATTGGGGGTTTTGCTGTGTTGCTCAGGCTGGTCTCCAACTCCTGGGCTCAAGCACTCCACCTGCCTTGGCCTCCCAAAGTTGCTGGGATTACAGACGTGATCCATCTCGCCTGGCCTTGAGCTGCGTTTTGAAGGATGTGTAGGAGTTTGCTAGGAGAAAGAAGTGTATTCTAGAGGGAAACTAGCTATTCTTTTGAGGACCATCCCTAGCCCTGTTTCTATTTGTGGACCAAGTCGTAATGACAATAGTAGCCATGGCTAATGTTTATGAGCCAAGATTCTTTGTGTGTATGTGTGTGTCTGTGTGTGTATGTGTGTGTGTGCAAGGGGAGGGAGGGTGGGGAGATATGGGCCAAGATTCCATTCCAAGCTGTTTAATTTATATTAACTCAGTTAATCTGGACAACACTCTTAGAAAGTAGAAAATATTACCGCAGAATGGGTGGACCTGGTATAGGTGCTTTGTTGAGGAATGATGCATTAGCTTCCCAGTGGGAGGTGAGTGCTTCGTTCGTTTATTCATTCATGTCTGCATCTATTCAACTGGTATTTATGGAGCATCTACCATGGGCCACATGTTGTACTTGACTTGGGACATAGAAGGGAACAGAGCAGCCAAGGTTAATCAAGTACACAAATAAACAAATAATGACAGGCTGCAATACATGCTGCAAGAAAATCATAAGGATGGTAGTCTGGGTGCCGAGGCTCACGCCTGTAATCCCAGCAATTTGGGGGGCCGAGGCGAGCAGATCACCTGAGGTCAGGAGTTCGAGACCACCCTGGCCAACATGGTGAAACCCCTGTCTCTACTACAAATACAAAAATTAGCCGGGTGTAGTGGAGGATGCCTATAATCCCAGCTACTCAGGAGGCTGAGGCAGAAAAATCATTTGAACCCGGGAGGCGGAGGTTGCATGAGCTGAGGTGGTGCCACTGCACTCCTGCCTGGGTGACAGAGATTCTGCGTTAAATAAATAAATGAATAAATAAGGATGATTCGATGGAGGGCAGCTGGGAGGGGCTCGAGCTGAGGACCACACTAGGTAAGCACGAGCAGAGACAGAAACTGAGCTTGAGGCCCCCAGAGGATAAGAAGAAACTAAGAAAAGCTGGGAAGCCTGGGCGGACAGGTGGGAAGCTGTGGCTCACATCCGTAATCCCAGCACTCTGGGAGGCCAGCATGGGCGGATCTCTTGAGCCCAGGAATTTGAGACCAGCTTGGGCAACATAGCAAGACCCCTCTTTCTTACAAAAAAATACTAAAACTTAGCTGGGTGTGGTGGCTTTGCTTGTAGTCCCAGCTACTTGAGAGGCTGAGGTGAAAGGATCGCTTGAGCCAGGAGATTGACGCTGCAGTGAGCCATGACCACACCTCAGCACTCCTACCTGGGTGACAGCGAGACCCTGTCTCAAAAGAAAAACAGAAAAAGAAAAGTTGGGAAAAGTTCCAAGCAGAGGGAAGAGCAAGTGCAAGGTCCCAGAAGCAGAAAGAAACTTAGAGAACAGAAGACCAACGTGGCCGCAGATGAAGGAGCTCAGGGTGGGGAGCAGGGCTGAGCATGGGCTGGGATTGAGGATGCACACCTGTGGTCTCAGCTACTCAGGAGGCTGGGGTGGGAGGATTGCTGGAGCACAGGAGGTCAAGGCTTCAGTGAGCCATGTTTGTACCACTGCATTCCAGCCTGAGCACAGAGCAAAAGCCTGTCTCACAAAAAGAAAGAAAGAACAATAGAAGTCGACTGCTGAGAGGGAGGTTTAGGAAGGAGGAGTTGGCATTATGACCGAGGTGTGAAATCGTTTCTTGGGCCAGGTGCAGTGGTTTATGCCTGTAATCCCAGCACTTTGGGAGGCCGAGGTGGGAGGATCACTTGAGCCCACCAGTTTGAGGCTGCAGTAGGTTACGATCATGCCACTACACTCCAGCCTGGGTGACACAGCAAGACTCCGTCTCTATTAAAAACAAAACAGGCCGGGTGCGGTGGCTCACACATGTAATCCCAGCACTTCGGTAGACCTAGGTGGGTGGATCACCTGAGGTAAGGAGTTCGAGACCAACCTGGCCAACATGGTGAAAACCCATCTCTATTAAAAAAAAATTAAAACCAAACCAAAACAAAACAAAAAAAAGGCCAGACTCGGTGGCTCACACTTGTAATCCCAGCACTTTGGGAGGCTAAGGCAGGCAGATCACGTTGTCAGGAGTTCAAGACCAGCCTGACCAATATGATGAAACCCTGTCTCTACTAAAAATACAAAAATTAGCCTGGCGTGGTGGCACATGCCTGTAGTCCCAGCTACTCTGGAGGCTGAGGCAGGAGAATCACTTAAGCCTGGGAGGTGGAGGTTGCAATGAGCCAAGATCACACTCTAGCCTGGGCGACAGAGCAAGAAGACTCTGCCTCAAAAACAAAACAAAACAAAACAAAGGCGAGGCGTGCTGGCTCATGCTTGTAATCCCAGCACTTTGGGAAGCTGAGATGGGTGGATCACCTGAGGTTGGGAGTTCGAGACCAGCCTGACCAACATGGTGAAACCCCGTCTCTTAAAAAAAAAAAAAAAGAGAAATAGTCCCTTGTAGGAGAGATTTAGGATTGTCAGTAGCCCTGAGCGCTCCCTTAGGGTCAGTTATCAGCCAGGATCCACTCAAAAGACACCACGCTACAGTTTTTTTTTCTTTTTTGAGTCAGCGTTTTGCTCTTGTTGCTCAGGCTGGAGTGCAATAGCATGATCTCAGCTCACTGCAACCTCTGCCTCCTGGGTTCAAGCGATTCTCCTGCCTCGGCTTCTCGAGTAGCTGGGATTACAGGCATGCGCTACCACGCTTGGCTAATTTTGTATTTTTAGTAGAGATGGGGTTTCTCCATGTTGTTCAGGCTGGTCTGGAATTCCTGACCTCAGGTGATCCACCCATCTTGGCCTCCCAAAGTGCTGGGATTACAGGCGTGAGCCACTGTGCCTGGCCCACACTACAGTTTTTAACTGAGGGAGTTTAATATAAGGGATTGTTAACAAGGTATAAAGATGTGTTAACTAGGTAATTGAAGGGGTATAATGGCAACAGTAGCAACTGCAGGAAGTTGTTACCATTCCTAGGATGGTTATTAAAATATAGACGCTTGAAGGAAGGGCATGGGGAGGCAAAACTCAGACATCCAAGAAGAGGGCGCTGCTCGGCTGGGGCTGCAGTCGCTGGGGAGAAGAAAATGAGGCTGGTTCTGCAAATGTTGGAGTTTAAGTGCAGACTGGATTCCACTGCTGCTTCCAGAATGTTCCAACTGCCACTGCCAGGATGAAGAAGCAAGAGGGGGTGACACTAGACAGGACAGGAATAAGCAGGAAGCAAAGCCCCCTATTGATAGAGAGAAAGCGGGATCAGCTGGCAAAGCAGAAGTGTTTGCAGAGGCCCAGCTCGGGCATTGTAGAGCCAAGAACAGCAGGTGGCTTTGGAGCTTGGTCAACCCGCTCCAGAGGCCTCAGTTTAAAGCTAGACCATCCACTGTCTCCTCCAGTGATTGGACTTTTGCTAGGTGAGTGCAAT